AGCAAGAGGGTAGAGACAGAAGGAGCAAGTGGGTGGGGGAAAGCAGCGGATTAGCTAGAGAGGAGGAGGGAAAGGAAGGAGGGTGTAAAGAGATGGAGGGAGAGGGGACAGAGGAAAGAAGAATTACAGATCAAAGACACAGACTATTGATGCTAGGGCATAATGCTAATCGGAACTGATTTTCTTTGTGAAAAGTGAATGTTGCGCATTTAACAACATTAAAATTTGCGTTTATGTGCCAGGAGAGGAACCTTTGCTGCCCAAAGTCAGTTCAGGGATTCCCAGACAACAATGGAAAAAACAGATATCAGACATTATGACTCAGCAGAACAGGATAGGAGAGTAACTTGAGTGGCTCCTCTAAAACTATAGGCTGACTGACAGCATGGTGTTACATATAACTTGTGGTGTGGGGACTGCATTACAAAATAAGTAAGAAAACCTTACCTTAAACAGTTATAGCATTAGATGCATACCCCCCAAGCTATTTTATTTGTATTCATTCATGGGATGCGAGTGTCGCTAGCTCGGCCAGCATTGTTACCCATCCCTAATTGCCTTTGAGAAGGTGTTGGTGAACTACCATCATGAACGGCTATTTCCAAGTCAGGATGGTGAGTGGTTTGGAGAGAAACTTACAGGTGGTAGCATTCCCATGTATCTGCTACCCTTGACCTCCTGTAGTTATGGTTCCGTAACTATAGCATAAGGAGTCTTGGTGAATTTTTGATGTGCATCTTGTAGATGGTACACACTGCTGCTACTTAATGTTGGTAGTGGAAGGATGTTTGTGGATGTAGTACTAATCAATGAATAAGGCTGCTTTGTGCTTTATGGTGTCAAGCTTCTTAAGTGTTTTTGGAGCGGCAAGTAGGAATATCCCGTCACAGATGGCTTGCGCGTCGCAGAAGGTGGACAGGATGTGGGGAGTGAGGCGCTGAGTTACTCTAGCAATCTTGCAGCAAGAAAGAGACAATTGGTGGTGGTTTAACCGGAGGCTCACCACGCCTCATGTGAGGGGAAAGCTCGAGAAGGATAATCCTTTGCGGTAACCTCAGCTATTGCAGGAATTGAACCCATGCTGTTGGCATCACTATGCATCACAAACCAGTTAAATCAACCTTCAAAGTAGTGGTCTTGAACTACCACACTAGGGGGGTGGGGTTCAAAATGGTCAGCGACCAGAAGGTGTTGTTGATTATAGATTCATGGACGATCTGCGCTCTATGCACTATAATCTACGATACCTGCTGGTTGTTAACCATTTTAATTCCCACTATAATTCTTTAATGTCCATCCTGGGCCTCCTCCAGTGCCACAATAATGCCACATGCAAACTGGAGGAGCAACACCTCATATTCTGCCTCGGGAGCCTACAGCCCGATGGTCTGAACATAGAATTCTCCAGTTTTAAAATTTCCTCACCCCCAACCTCATCCCACGTCCAACCCTCCCTCTCATTCCCGCCTCCTAGGCTTGACACAACCTGTCCATCTTCCTCCCCACGTATCCACCCTTCCCACTGACCAATCCCTACTACCCTTACCTGCAGAACCTTT